ACGAGCCGATCAGTGGCAAAGAGGATAAAAGTAAAAGTAAGTAAAAGTCAGTATCGCAGAATGCTATACATGGTACTGTAATGATCCCTGGTGACATTTTCCGAATAGTGACCCTTAAAATTACCTAACCTAACTTCCTAACCGGGGTTCCGCCTGGATCTTCTGTATATTTAAGTCAATTATGGAAATATCATTGAAGAAGTGTCTTAACATTGTCAAAACCATCGTAAAAAACACATTGCTCAATAAAAAATCCATGGTGTCCACTTATAAAATTTTACCGAAATAAACGTAAATTTGCATTAGTACACACAACTCTGTTAGAAAGTCAAAACTATGTTTTTCTAGTGTGTTTTTGTGTGTTTTAATTGGTTTTGACCTTCAATTCCGTCGGAAATTGCCCGTGTTTTAGTTATCAGGGGTTTTGGGTGGGGCTTTTTCCGACAAAAAATTATGGCTAAGCAAATACAAAATACACAAAAAACACTAGAAAATGTAAACCTGACCTGACCTGACATAACCTAACCTAACAAACTCTCACCATATGATGGAATCATTTATTTCTTACCTTAGTTCCTTTGAAATCACTGACAGTGTACCATCACCGCTCTCCTTCTTTGTCTTGGGGATAAGGGACGAGTTACCACAATGCCACATATGTTGTCTTGACTTTAACGATATTCACATTCGTTCTTGCAGTTAGGACACTTTACTGAGGTCGAAACACCATGAAATCGAAAAAATTATATAGCTTGTTCGTTTTTTTCCTCAAAACTCACAATCAGCTCCACATAACTGAAGTGACACCCATCGCAGACTTTCATGGTCGGAAATGAATTTGAATTTCAAAATATGAGACCCAAAATAAAAATCGAATTTGATTGGGTAAATTTGTTTCGACCAAATATGACCTTTATTTCTGTCGGAAATTGACCGTTTTTTCATCGCTTTTTTTTCGTGGGACGTTTTTCGAAATAAAAATAATGGCTAAGCGAATAAAAAATACTCAAAAACACACTAGAAAAACAAAAACCTAACCTAACCTAAGGTAAGAAATAGGTGATTCCATCATCTGGTGAGTCAGTTAGGTTAGGTTAGGTTTTTGTTTTTCTAGTGTGTTTTTGTGTATTTTTTATTTGCTTAGCCATTAATTTTTTTCGAAAAACGTCCCACGAAAAAAAAGCTATAAAAAAAAAGGCCAATTTCCGACAGAAGTAAAGGTCATATTTGGTCTAAACACACAAATACACTAGTAAAATATAGTTCTGATTTCCTAACAGATGGGGAGGTGGAAGTGCAAATTTACCTTTGATTGGGCCAAAAATACCGCAAATTAAACCACAAATAATTTTAATTAGTGGCAAAAAAATACCAAAAACGCTTTTGATTGGCTGCGTGAAGTGTAAGGGAACCCATGAGTGTGACGATTGATGAAGAAGACAACAGTGTGGGAGGTGAGGTAGGAGATAATGGCGTTAGATTAATGGAAGAAAATCGAGGAAGACTTTGGATACACTATCTCCGTTATTATACATTTGCGACGGTAATGTAATAGATGAAAATTATCTTATAATTAGACGTCTTTTTCGAATATGATAATAGATTTGGGGTAGGTAGGTTGTGTGAACAAATACAAAAATATCAATTAAACACCAAAACAAATAACTCGTTGGCAGGACAGTCGTCAATATTAACCAAATGTTAAATATCTAGCTTACACGTAATTTGCGCCACAAAATGACATTGACGAAAATTGTCTTGTAATTGTCAAAATTACCGAGATTCATTTACTGGCAACCCCTTTACCTCACATATACCTAAGGTTAACGAAACTTTACTAAGACATATAAACCGAAACATCTTTATTTCAAACTAAATGTTTTACTGTAAATGAAAGTAAGTGTTTTAAAGTACTTGCGGGAGGTGCAGGTGGAGGAGGGTAAAGTGAGGTTGGTGAACAGGTTATTGTTGTGGTCAGGCGGCAGACAGCCCTTAGTATTATCCGGGACCGTAACTATTCCTCACGCGCGCCGCCAGAGTATAGTTATTTGTTGTATTAAATGACTAATTAAAATAAAAATAAATAAAAATATGAATCAATAGAGTACAATATTGTGCCATTTTAAATTTCTCAGACAATAAGCACAACAAACTCATTTTGCTAGATGTTAACGATTACTAAAGTGGTGCACATATGTCTGGTTCCCGTCGCTCACTAAACAAGCAAGTGGTATGCAAGGTAGGTAGATACCTACCTTGAGTGGTATGTGCCATGCCAGTAGAATAGAAAACCGCTTGGGCGGCCGGTCGCGTCTCTGTTACACTCTGTTGGCAAGTACTGGACATGCAGTGCCATGCACTTGCTCCTGAAAGTTTCTGAATCAGACATGGGGTCAGTTATGAATTGAATTGGAATTGATTAAAAAATTCGTGAATTGGAATTACTTTTTTTTTTTTTTTACTTTTATCCTCTTCGCCACTGATCGGCTTGTTAGCCGCTTGGGCGATCGGTCACGTCTCTTTTCATTTATATTCTTCACCAAAAGATCGGCTCGCTAGCCGCCCGGGCGATCGGTCACGCCTCTGTCACGCACTGTTGGCAGGTACTGGGCATGCACTGGCTCCTGGATGTACCTGAACCCGCTCCAGTGTTGGTGAAGTCTTGTCTTGAAAGAGCTCACACTCGGTGCCGTCACAACCCTCTCTGGTAGATTGTTCCAAGAGTTTACAACCCTCACTCCGAAAAAGTTTGCCCTCACGGTTTTCTGGACTTGTGGCTTCTTCATCTTGAGCTGTGATCCCTTGTGGGGCGAGCGTCCGCCAGCTCCAAGTAAGGACACTCAACTGAGTAGTGCCCCTTGACATGCTTATACACCTCAACTAGGTCCCCCCTTGCCCGTCTGTAGTATAAGCTAGGCAAGTTTAGGCGCTCCAATCTCTCAGGGTAGCTGAGGTGCCGAAGTGCAGGCACCAGTCTGGTGGCCCTCCTTTGAACATTTTCAACCAACTGACAGTCCCTAGCATATCTCGGGGACCAGATGGGGTGACAGTATTCCAGACGGGGAAGCACTTCACTCCTGAAGACCGTTACGAGGGACGGACCGTCTAGATATCTGAACGACCTTCTTATAAGACCCAATAATTTATTTGCCTGATTTACCTTCTTCTCACAATGGCCCGAGAACTTCAGCTCATTGTCAACATACACACCTAGGTCCTTCTCACACACAGTCTCAACTAGTGCAGTTTCTTCATCCCGTTGGGACATATGATACGCCTCCTTACCGTTGGTACGCCCCAGGTGCATCATTCTTACACTTCGTGACATTGAATCTCAGCAGCCATTTCTTCGACCATTCCTGGAGCCCACAGAGGTCCTTCTGCAGCTCTTCACAGTCCGCTTGGTTCTTAATTTCCCGAAATAACTTGGCGTCATCGGCAAACATTTGTATGGAGGAGTGTACAACGTCAGGCATGTCATTTATGAAACAAACAAACAATAGCGGGCCCAATACACTGCCCTGTGGTACCCCACTTGTTACAGGTACAGATGATGATTTCGTGCTATTAATCACCACACACTGCTTGCGGTCATGTAGAAAGTCTTCTTTCCACGCTAGGACATTTCCCCGAATTCCGTACCCTTCCAGTTTGATTTTCAGCCTTTCGTGGGGTACACTGTCGAAAGCCTTGGCAAAATCTAGGTAAATATTGTCGATATTACCACCCCGTTCTAGAATATGGGTCCAAATATCCAATACCTTGAGCAATTGTGTCAAGCAAGAGCGCCCCGGCATAAAACCGTGTTGGCAATCTTTTTCAAGGTTGTTTCGTAGTAGATGTTCCATCGCGGCATCTCTGATAATACTCTCAAGTACTTTACATATTATGCTGGTCAGGCTCACCGGTCTATAGTTGTTCGTGGAGTGACGATCGCCCTTCTTGAAGATAGGACTCACATAAGCCACTTTCCATTCACTGGGGACCTTTTGTTCATCCAGGCATTTACAAAACAAGATCTTGAATTGAATTGGAATTGAAAAAATATAAAATTAGAATTAATTGAATTGAATTGGAATTGATATGAATTGATGTGAATTGATAAAATAATATATACTGTAATATGCGACTTCATAATTTTGCAATAATTAACTTATATTCAAATAAAAACTAAAATGCACAGTTAGCTAGCACAAAAATATGTAAAAAAAAAACATATCAAGTGATGTATTAATTTTCATTGAACTGAGAAACTATTTCCTGCATATTTCATGTGTTTCTAATAAATATATTTAAGATATATTTTAGATTCACAACAAGTTCAGTTCCTGGCAGTGGGCCTGACTGAGATGGTGTGGGTAAAACAATGTTCAGTACACGTCCTGGCCTGCCCTGCCCTGTTGGTCTGTGATTGGCAGTGTAAGCTTACCACATGTACACGCTGGAATAGCCAGTTGACGATGATGAGGTCAGAACTTGGAGTTTCACCTGAAGTGTGGGACAAACTTGACACTCCCTACAAGCTGAAGCAGTATGAGCTGAACACCACCAAGGAGCTCTGTGATATACTCCAGCCATTTGAGTATGTGACTTTTTTTTTTTTATTATTTATTGGGCACCCCCTTACATCCTTGTGAAAGGTGAAGCGCAGAAGCGTTTACAGCGCCCAACAGGGAAGCATGCTAAGTTCATGCTTGCCTTTATGTCTCACGAGTTAAGGGCGTAGAAGCCTGATGAGTCAAGGGCGTAGAAGCCTGAAGAGTCAGTGGTTTTATGTCATGAAGTTATTGGAAGCTCCAACAACTTTCCCTGAATACGAATTCGCAATTTTCGATTTACACCAGGTACCTACTTTACTGCTAGGTGAACAGGGACTAATGGGGGCAAGGAAGTAAGTCCAAACAACTTCCACCCGTGACATTTCGCTTGCGAGGCAAGAACGGTACCGCATCTACCACCGATCCCCCGAGTATGTGACTAATCAGATTCAGAGACAAAACATGGTGACATCTAGTCTGGTAGTTAACTGTGTTCGTGGTCTTCGGGCTGGTTTAGCTAGTCTTCATGAAGTGTATAAAAGCAAGCTTGCTTCTGTACTTCAGTCCTCAACAGAGACTCGTCTGAATAAGTTTGAGTCTATGGAGGCTTTCCAGCGAGCTGCCACGTTAGACCCACGTTACAAGCTGGACTGGTGTCATGACTATGACAATGAAGTGCAAGATATTCGTGACCTTCTGACTGTGAAATACAATAGGGCAGGCAGTGTTGATCCTACAACAACAGACACTTCCCCTGCTGAACCACCGCCGATGAAGAGGAACAAGTTCATTGCCCTGACCAACCGGTCTTCTACACCAAGACCAACTCCATCAGAAACTGAGGTCTCACTCTACCTCAACCAGCCATGTCTACAGGAAGATGGTGATCACCTTGGCTACTGGAAGGCCAAGCAACCTGAGTTTCCTGTCCTCACCAGACTTGCAGCAAAGTACCTGGCCATTCCTGCTGCATTGGCTCCTGTGGAACGACTGTTCTCCATGGCTGGCAAGCTCTTCAGGCCAGAGAGGTGCAAATTAAGCGATGAAAGATTTGAGCAACTTATGATGATCAGATGCAATCCTCAGTAACTTGGACTCATTCATATTTTGTTTACTAGTACAAAGAATTAAACCATTTGAACTTTTGGTTGGTAAAGAATGTGATTGGTTTGTGTGGTAGAGCATTTTTGATAAAAAATAAAAAAGTTAATTTGAAACCTCGAATTTTTATTTCTTTCCGTTAGATTAATGGTAGATTAGAATTCATTTTGAATTGAAAAGCATTTGAATTGAATTGAATGAAATATCGACCATAATGAATTGAATTCAATTGAATTGGATTTGATTAATTCAAATTTTATTCTGAATTGGAATTGTATTGAATTGACAAAAATGAGCTGACCCCATCTCTGACCTGAACTTTTTTTTTTTCTTTTATTCTCTTCACCACTGATCGGCTCGTTAGCCGCTTGGGCGATCGGTCACGTCTCTGTTACGCACTGTTGGCAAGTACTGGGCATGCACCGGCTCCTGAATGTACCTGAACCTGCCCCAGTGTTGGTCAAGTCTTGTCTTGAAAGAGCTCACACTCGGTGCCGTCGCAACACTTTCTGGTAGATTGTTCCAAGAGTTCACAACCCTCACTCCGAAAAAGTTTGCCCTCACAGTTTTCAGGACTTACGGCTTCTTCAATCTTGAGCTGTGACCCCTTGTGGGGCGAGCGTCCGCCAGCTCCAAATAAGGACACTCGACTGAGTAGTGCCCCTTGAGATGCTTATACACCTCAATTAGGTCACCCCTTGCCCGTCTGTAGTATAAGCTAGGCAAGTTCAGGCGCTCCAATCTCTCAGGGTAGCTGAGGTGCCGCAGGGCAGGCACCAGTCTGGTGGCCCTCCTTTGAACATTTTCAACCAACTAACAGTCCCTAGCATATCTCGGGGACCAGACGGGGTGACAGTACTCCAGATGGGGAAGCACTTCACTCTTGAAGATCGTTACGAAGGACGGGCCGTTTAGATACCTGAACGACCTTCTTATAAGACCCAATAATTTATTTGCCTGATTTACCTTCTTCTCACAATGGCCCGAGAACTTCAGCTCATTGTCAACATACACACCTATGTCCTTCTCACATTCAGTCTCAAATAGTGCAGTTTCTTCATCCCGTTGGGACATATGATACGCCTCCTTACCGTCGGTACGCCTCAGGTGCATCCTCTTACACTTTGTGACATTGAATCTCAGCAGCCATTTCTTCGACCATTCCTGGAGCCCTCAGAGGTCCTTCTGCAGCTCTTCACAGTCCGCTTGGTTTTTGATTTCCCGAAATAACTTGGCGTCATCCGCAAACATTTGAATGGAGGAGTGTACAACGTCAGGCATGTCATTTATGAAACAAACAAACAACAGCAGGCCCAATACACTGCCCTGTGGTACCCCGCTTGTGACAGGTACGGATGATGATTTCGTGCCATTAATCGCTACACACTGCTTGCAGTCATGTAGAAAGTCTTCTATCCTCGCTAGGATATTTCCCAGAATTCTGTACCCTTCCAGTTTGATTTTCAGCCTTTCGTGGGGTACACTGTCGAAAGCCTTGGCAAAATCTTGGTAAATATTGTCGATATTACCACCTCGTTCCAGAATATGGGTCCAAATATCCAATACCTTGAGCAATTGCGTTAAGCCTGAGCGCCCGGCATAAAACCGGGTTGACAATCCTTTACAAGGTTGTTTCGTAGTAGATGTTCCATTGCGGCATCTCTGATAATACTCTCAAGTACTTTACATATTATGCTGGTCAGGCTCACCGGTCTATAGTTGTTCGTGGAGTGATGATCGCCCTTCTTGAAGATAGGACTCACATAAGCCACTTTCCATTCACTGGGGACCATTTGTTCATCCAGGCATTTACAAAACAGGATCTTTAGGGGCTCGGCAAGCTCGTTGCTCAACTCTTTTAGCACTCTAGGTTGCACCATGTCAGGGCCGGGACTCTTGTGGACCCTTGGCTTTGACAGTTTATTTCTAATACCCTCTTCTGTGAACACAATGTGGGTCAGTGCTGTGTCGAACCATCTGTCCTCAAACGCAGGAAGGTTAATCGCATCCTCTCTTGTGGGACACCGAGGAAAAGAAGCTGTTCAATGCCTCGGCTTTATCCTGGTCAGAATCTGCGTAAATACCATCTTCAAGCCTCAGGTCTGATACTCCTACTCGCGTTTTTAATTTCGACTTTGCAAAGCGGTAAAACGCCTTTGAGTTTGACTTGACCTCACTTGCAACCAGCCTCTGGAATTCCTTTTCAGCCCTTCTACACTCTATCTTTGCTTGGTTTCTGGCTCTTGCATACATCCTCCTGTCCTGCTCATCGTTTGACCCAACCCACATCTTGAATTTCTGGGTTTTCTTCTTAACTTTGTCGACCACCGCATGGCTCATGTGTAGGGATCCCCTCATATTCCTCGTGGCACTGGGTTTGGTCGTGGGTATGTATTTATCGATCAAATGGGTCACTTTACTAGTTATGATATTCAGCGTACTTGTAGTGTCTGCGTTCTTGTGCCTTAATGAGTCAGGTCAGTGGATACCCCTCATCTCTTCCCTCAGCCCGTTGTAATTTCCCTTGTAATATTTGCACCTTGGCCTGGTATTATCTTGAACTAGGTAACAGTTAAATCTGAATGAAAACACTATATGGTGACTGGTACCAACTGGGGCAAGGTGTTCCAGTTTGGCCACCATACCCTCTTCGTTTGTTATGATGAGGTCTAGTGGCTTGGGTGTTTGCTCCCCTCTGTAATGTGTCGGGTCTCCAGTGCTGGTCAAGTCTGGTCTTGAAAGAGCTCACACTCGGTGCCGTCACAACACTTTCTGGTAGATTGTTCCAAGAGTTCACAACTCTCATTCCGCAAAAGTTACCCCTCACAGTTTCCTGGCTTGCCGCTTCTTCAACCTTGAGCTGTGACCCCTTGTGTGGCAAGCGTCCGCCACCTCCAGCAGCCGTCTCCTAACTCAACTACAACTGGGCCTCATCCCCGTGTCTACTCAGACGCTGCCAGACCTTGTGCCCCCCCCCCGGTGCCCCCCCCACAACCCCCTCTCCTTTGACACGACACAGATCATATCCCTCTTACACGAATTTACCAACCGTATTGAAAGACTCCTTGATACACTCTGTACCGCCATCTCCAACCTACACAGACTACCCCTGCCTCCAGCTGCTACCCAGTCACCCCCCTCTTCTGGTTTGACACAACCTGGTAGCCCCCCTTTGTGCCCCTCATGCTCACGGCCTACTCCACCGCCGCCTGGCACTACTGCTGGAGTACACACCGAGCCTGTCCCGTGCCCGGCTGCCCCCTTCCAACCACCGAGCACTCATGGCTCCCCGGCCAGAATCTGCGTAACTACCATCTTCAGACCTTAGGTCCGATAAGCCGAGGTCAAGTCAAACCCACTGGAATATTTACGCCTGTACTGCTCTAAGTTCTGTGACTCCGTAAAGGTAGGTTCACGATGTAATTGTTCATGATGAACAAAGATGAACTTGTTGGACAATTTCAGAGAATAAAAATCTGTCTGTCTATCTTTTTTGATGTTGAAAACCAAACTCCATTTTTTTATAATGCGCTGCTTTAATTTTGTATGTGAATAAGTACAAAATACCGATTTATAGACATTTAACATTCCTGCAGTAAAATTCTCGTTTTTAAGACATTATTGAAATTATATATATATATATATATATATATATATATATATATATATATATATATATATATATATATATATATATATATATATATATATATATATATATATATATATATATATATATATATGTAACCGGTCGGAATTTACTGGACTTTAATTTCTCACTTGACTTGGGGTTTATTAAAATTTAATAGATGGTAATGGCAGTGGAAGCGCCCCTTTGAGAAAAATCCCGAACCAGCACAAGAACACTTAAATCTACTAAACAAAATGAATTGTCCGTGACCCGTGGAAGGATAGCGTCTGTGACTGGGATGAATGAGACACACTGTAAAATTTAGACACTTATATTCCCTCCAATACTACAAACACAATCAAATAATGGTACACCAATATGCGCACCTCTTAACTTAAACTTAAAACACTATTCTGGGGAATAAAAGTTATACATGATATAGAAATTATTAGAAACACAGGCAACAATAAATTTGAAGTATTAAGAAATGTTGCTTGCACCCATGAAACAGGCCTTAAGGGCTTTCACAAAATAATATCAGTCACTTAGGAAATGGTATTAAAAAATAAGAAATTAACTACTCTACAATGAATAGGCCTTAAGGGCTTTCAACAAAACAATATCAGCCACTGAGGAAATGGTAATAAAAAATAAGAAATTAAATACTCTACAATGAATAGGCCTTAAGGGCTTTCAACAAAATAATAGCACCCCAACAGATGCACACTTCCTAACCTAACTTAACCACTACTCTGGGGAACAAGGTTATACCTGAGATCAGAATTATGAAGAACAATTAGATGCATTAAAAGAATCAAATCACAGCATCACTCTGGTTCCACTTAATGGCACAAACATTAAAAAACAATACTATCAAAATTATTTAGGACTATTAAACTACACACGTCAAGATAATATCAGTCTGAGGAATGGTGTTAACTACACCCGTAATAAGGAAGATAAAATGTTCCTCTAGGTATCTCCTAGAGTCCTAGACTCACGGTCTCAGTGTGTGACCATTAATATACTCAGATAGCCTCAGTGTACTCCCAGTGCGTCCATGGGCAGGAAGAGAGAACGCCAGCAGGTGTCTATGGCCAGTAGGTAACACTTCTAGCTGACCGAGGACACGTCGTGTTGTGCACCCGAGTGGTAAGAACTGATCACCCACTGCTGATGCTGGTCCCGTCGTTTTAATTGTCGGGAGCACTCGTTCACTCAAGAGATCCTTTGCTACCCCGCTAAACAGTGACAGGCCTACACTGATCGGTCCAACGGCGACAATCGCCACCCTCAATCATCAACGGCAGTCTCAAACGGCAGTCAATCTCTCGCAGTCAAACTCCCGTCAACGCCGGTCAACTCCAGTCAAGTGGGTTCTGACGGAAACCCTGAAATGAACTCACTGTTAGCTCTAGTTAACTTTACCACTGCCCTATCTAAACCCTGTCCGAGATTGAATGAGACTTACTTGTTATACTGCCATAGCGCAGCACAGGTGACTAGGCCACGTGACTATTTCTGTGACTGACGCGCAGGGACGTCTTGTTTGCCTGACTGCTTCCCGTGACTGAGGGAGAGCCAGCGTCGCGTCCTCTCAAGGCGTTAGCTTAGGCCTACGTGACATATTTTCCGCCTAACTAATAACTCCTTGGGACACCCGTGACATTATTCAGACTGATAAACGATCTATAATAATTTCAAATTCAATAATAGTCCCTTAACTTCATGAATCGCATCATTATTAATTCGGTAAATTACATTTAATATCATATAGGCCTAGTTCGGCAATCTCTCGCTATGAGCAGGGAGCGCTCTCTTCCCTCCCGCGACCTTGAACGCTCAGTGTTGCCAATGGCGGGGCATTCGGAATTACTCTGAAATTTCTGAATATTACATATATATATATATATATATATATATATATATATATATATATATATATATATATATATATATATATATATATATATATATATATATATATATATATATACTGTATATTTCATGTAAATCCACAATGAAAACGTGGATAAGATAAATCTTGATAAAATCACACGGAAAAATGGTACCTGTTTGCATTTTTCCCCGTGATTTTATCAAGATATATATATATATATATATATATATATATATATATATATATATATATATATATATATATATATATATATATATATATATATATATATATATATATATATATATATATATGCTGATAACCACAAGGAAAGAAGAAAACACGAAGTTCCCAAGCGCTTTCGTGTTGTAGTGGACGTCTCCCCTACAAACTGCGTAGCTGCATCCCACCTGCGATGCTTTCCTTAGCAACCAAGCGAGCGGCGACACCAGATGGTACGGTAACCTAGCAACGAAACTAGAGACCGGTTACTTCTCAGGTTTTCCCAACATGACTCATAGAGGACTCACTGCTGCTGGGTATATAAGCTCTGTCTCTCCATTGAGATTCATTCTCTCCTCACTTCTACAACACGCAACACCTCCTCCTCTGCCGCTGCCTGGCGGCCCTCGCTTCTCCTCGCCTGCCTGGCGGTCCTCGCTCCCGCCAGCGAGCATGGCGACCCACCAGCTGTCCTTCTCTGAGCTTCCTCACCAACCAGCTTTCTCATTCTGGTCTCTCTTCTTGAACAAGCAACACCTCCTCCAGCAAGCTCCACGCTGTCAGCATTCATTCATCCAGGAGGCCAGCAACAGGCAACATATTCTCTAACGAAGCTCCTGCACATCTATCTCCTTCAACACGCTACTCACCGAACGTCTCTACTGAGCAGCTCCTCACCACACGGCACCTCCAGCACCAGACTGTCTATCATGTAACTTATATTATACAAGAAAACCACCTTAGAGTTTCCATCCATCCTGAGTGCTAGACAACATTATACCACGAATTTCTACAAATGGTGACTCCCGGAGATTAGCACTCACACAGGATGGAGGAGACACTGACCACGCTCCCAGTCTTCAAGCAGCATGGAAGAATGGCTTATCCACACAGAAGCAGCTCTGTTACTCTAAGCAGACACCAGCTCCTCTTCCTGCCCCAAGCACCACATCCTGACGACCCCAGCACACCCGTCCTGCCTCAGACGCCGACCCCGGCCCAGCAGTAACCCCTGCCGTGAGGGAAGCACAACATTCATCGCCTCCACACCCTCTTTTCTCCCTCAGGTACTCCCTGCTAATGTCCTGCACCCTGCTGGTGTCATGGACCCAGCTGCTGTCACGAGCCCTAATCCGCTTCTGCTGACGCAGCCCCTGCTCCTGACCCAGGCCCACACACTCCAGCAGGCGCATCTGACGACCCTGTACCTGTCATGAGGGAAGCACAACATTCATCGCCTCCACACCCTCTTTTCTCCCTCAGGTACTCCCTGCTAATGTCCTGCACCCTGCTGCTGTCATGGACCCAGCTGCTGTCACGAGCCCTAATCCGCTTCTGCTGACGCAGCCCCTGCTCCTGACCCAGGCCCACACACTCCAGCAGGCGCATCTGACGACCCTGTACCTGCCGTGAGGGAAGCACAACATTCATCGCCTCCACACACCCTTTTTCTCCCTTCTCCCACAGATAGTGTGTATCTAGACAGTTGTATTTCAGCGATCGGCTCATTCACGCCATCTCCGTTGTCTCACATGAGGCATGCACCGCCCGGTCTGCCTCACATGTGCTAAGCAACTCTACAGACAACAAGTCTCCTACACCGCCTGGAGGGAAGGGGGAGTATTGTAGTGGACTTCTCCCCTACAAACTGCGTAGCTGCATCCCACCTGCGACACTTTCCTTAGCAACCAAGCGAGCGGCGACACCAGATGGTACGGTAACCTAGCAACGGAACCAAAAGACCGGCGACTTTCTCGGGTTTTCCCAACATGACTCATAGAGGACTCGCGGCTGCTGGGTATATAAGCTCTGTCTCTCCATTGAGATTCATTCTAGCCTCTCTTCTACAACACGCAACACCTCCTCCTCTGCCGCTGCCTGGCGGCCCTCGCTTCTCCTCGCCTGCCTGGCGGTCCACGCTCCCGCCAGCGAGCATGGCGACCCACCAGCTGTCCTTCTCTGAGCTTCCTCACCAACCAGCTTTCTCATTCTGGTCTCTCTTCTTGAACAAGCAACACCTCCTCCAGCAAGCTCCACGCTGTCAGCATTCATTCAACCAGGAGGCCAGCAACAGGCAACATCTTCTCTAACGAAGCTCCTGCACATCTACCTCCTTCAACACGCTACTCACCGAACGTCTCTACTGAGCAGCTCCTCACCACACGGCACCTCAAGCACCAGACTGTAAATCATATAACTTATATTATGCAAGAAAACCACCTTAGAGTTTCCATCCATCCTGAGTGCTAGACAACATTATACCACGTAACCCTTCACATCTTCAGGGGTGAGTACAGTCTGTACTCACCCCTGAAGATGTGAATTACACGAAAGCGCTTGGAAACTTCGTGTTTTCTTCTTTCCTTGTGGTTATCAGCTTATACCTAGATCACGCGCATCTACAGTGATTTACTTGCATCTATATATATATATATATATATATATATATATATATATATATATATATATATATATATATATATATATATATATATATATATATATATATATATATATATATATATATATATATATATTTTATAAACTGCATTGCCTTTATTAGCTACACTGTATGGAAAATAAGAAAACAGCATATATGTAGAGTATTCTATTATTCATCGTATACATGATGTTCATTACAGATGTTTGGAAGGTGGACACTGATAAAACGACATTATTGTTAATGTGTACTGTATTGTATACTGTATTGTGATAAAATGAGTTGGCGTCCTCATAAACATTAACGCCCAAATAAACATTCCTGACATCAATGTCAGCACTGACTTCTGTATAAACACTTTTGACGTTAATGAAAAGAGTAAGGCTGTATAGACATGTGACGTCACTTCAAACTGTGACGCCATATGGAGGCAACTTCACTGCTGTCTGTTCTTTATGGTGGCTGGAGACCCCTTGTTATTTTTTGTTTTGTTTTTTTGACTCATTGGAGTCTGTTGTTACGCGGGACTGGCCAGCCTTGTGTGGCAACCTTGTGCTCAGAGACTGTAGTTTACTCACTAGGTGTTGTGTTATAATAGAAGGTATTTTATTGTTTTATATTTATAGTTGTGTGAATAAGAGTTGTTCATAACCCCTTCCTGAAGATAAGTAATTTGTTACATGTAATGAGGTGGAAGGTGTATGTGATGTGGATCATCAGCAGCAACACTCCTGGGTGGTGTAGGAAGGCTTGCACACCTCACTCTGCTGGTAGGGGCTGTACACCACCTGACAATTGATGGTAAAATACACACACATGGACGGATGCCGCTGGTCGCCACTCCCCCACGACTTGTTACTGCTGCTGCTGCTCCACGTCTGACTCCATGACTTTCTTGGAGTTCCCACATTACCTCTACCGGCGCCGTCCCACGACTTCCCAGGCAATAATCCTCCTCTTCCGCTGCTCCAGGTCATCATGTCTGGGTGAGGTTCAGGACGTGGACGTGCGCGCATTGGCGAGTGTGTGAGGGCGGGGTTGGAGGATCCCATGTTAGATGTTTTCCATTGTGATGATGGCCGGTGTTGCCTACCCGGTGAGGTCTGCATGCTGGCTGTGGAGCCCCCTAACGGTATCGACGATGTGAGGGATGAGTGTGTTGCTACAGAAGGCGTGCCGGGTGATTGAGACTGCCCGCCACCGCTGAGGGTAACATGTACCCCTGGTGCCTCATCTTCTCTCAAGGATTGTGAAGCCTCAAGGCCACCGACAGAGGCGTATACAGTGTTGGAGAGCGAGCCCTGTGGGGTGAGACGTACATGAGTGTTGAAACCTTCTACCACCCGTCGGGAGTCCGCTTCTACTGGTAAATCATGACCTAAAATTACATGGCCGCGGAACCCAGGAGGGACTCTGTATCCGGGTGCGCCTGGGATTTTTTCCCCGGGGTGGATGGGAGTTCCGGGACGCTGGGCGAGCAGGGATGAGTTTCTTATTGTGTGTGAGGCGGGCATGGTCATAACGTTGACGATGGGCCCACCTGTAGTGCCAGGTAGGGTCACACTACCGCCTGGACTGGCCGGCACTAGGGGTACAGAGGTCATATCTTCTACTACGTCCGTCTGATGTACACTTCCTGCAGCCGCCTCAATCATCCACGGCCTCGACTCTGGCTGCGATGCCGACCCACGGCTCTCGTAGCCACCTTCGACCTCCTGACGATGTGTCGCAGGCATGTGCGTCTCGACTCGAGGAAGAGAATCGGGGACAGGTGTGTGAAGCTCGGGTGGGGTAACGTGAGGTCCCTCCCTGTGAAGGTGCTGTGAGGGGATGTGAGGCTGAGGAGGAGGGAAGTGAGGATCCTCAGTAGGGAGGTGTTGTGGGGTGATGTGAGGCTGAGGAGGAGGGAAGTGAGGATCCTCAATAGGGAGGTGTTGTGGGGTGATGTGAGGCTGAGGAGGGAAGTGAGGATCCTCAGTAGGGAGGTGTTGTGGGGTGATGTGAGGCTGAGGAGGAGGGAAGTGAGGATCCTCAATAGGGAGGTGTTGTGGGGTGATGTGAGGCTGAGGACCCTCGCTGGGGAGGTGCGGGGTGGTGGTCTGCACCTGGTGCACCACAATGGGTGGATCAGGCACCACCAGTCCTTCCTGTTCGTCATAATGTTCCTCTGGTGACTCTGTAGACGACGTCGCCGTCGTGGTGGGTTGGAGGTGGTCATTATCCAGCTCTAGCGGATCCAGTCTAAATATCTGAGGCCCCAGATCAAAGTAAGGCGCCTGTTGACCAGTAAGCGGGTTGTAATCACTGTCATAGTATTCAGAACCGGGGTGGTCATATGTACCATAATCATAGTGCGGGAGAGAACCCATCAGGTCTCCTGGGCTTGGGGCAGGACCCAAGCGGCCCTGGGAGTAGGTTGCTAAACCCACTTGCCCACCATGAGTGGACTCCTCAGACACCCCAACACCTTCCTCAATATGGGGACGGGTGTGAAGTGGTGCTTTGCCCACCTCGCTCTTCCTGGGCGGCGTCCCGGCACCGCCCGTCATCCCACCGTTGTCGATAACGTATTTGCTGTCAGGGGAACTGACGGTTTGGGACGGGTAAGCGGCCACTTCGGGCACCATGTGAGGCTGGTGGACAGTTTCCATTATGTTGCTTAACATGTCATGGGTCATAGAAGAGTGACTAGGTGCACTGGGAGCGACTGGTTGATCAACTAGTGGCGCATCCTCACGCCCTCCTCCCAGGACGAGACCTGCACGATTCAAGTCGTCAGTCACCAGTTCTTCCTGACCACTATCTGGACCCACCTGTTCACTGAGGAAAGGGAACTCGTGGGTTACTTCGCCCGGCGTAAAATCTTCATGTAAATATTGATCTTCAGTAAATCCCTCGGATCCTAGTCCAGGCTGAAAGAAGTCTCTTGATGAAAACTCATCCTGCACTCGACCCCCTCCTTGTGTATAACCTTCTGCAGAGACCTGAGGGGGAGGTGGGTGGTGGTCGGGGTGGGGTGGAGGCGAGGGTTGGGTATTCGCCAGGTGATGAGAGCCACTGCTGGAGTGTGCAACACCCAGGAAGGACCCTCCGGACACGTCGCCCGCGAGCGAGGCCAAGGCAGAGCCCCCAAAAGGAGTCATCACAGCAGAAGCCAGACCCTGACCCCTCAGTCCACTACCGTCGGGTTGGTGCTGCTCTGGCGTGAAGTCCATCTGTGCGTGGGTGTTGGCGGCGGCGGGGCCGTGGGCCTGGGCTCCCGCACTACCTCCTTGCTGGGTGGAACCAACATTGGAAACAAGCAGGGGAGCACCCTCGTTTGTGGATACCTCGGCCCTGGAGGAGGAGTGAGCACCCATCTGAAGGTGCGCCTGCGACTGGTGACCATTACTATGCGTCATGGCCAGCCCCTGTACCCCGTGCATGTTGCCCATCACTTGTGTTTGGCTCATCCCGCCTGAGTGACCCATGCTCTGAGCCTGGGCAGAAAAGAACCCTCCGGCGCCAGAGCTGCCCACCACCTGTGTGGCTGGCCCAGATCTCATCACAGCACCCGCCACGGCCCCACGCACCCCACTACCCATCTGTGCCTGTGTCTGTACCTGTGACGGTCCAGGATAAAAGTCGTCGCCATCGGTGACGGGTGTCTGTCCAGCATGTGGGACTCCCAGCTGGAGCAAGGGGTCAGCGGCGTCGCTCTGCTCGTTACTGAGTGGGAAGTCGTCTGCGGGAGGGTGGAGGGCTGCCCTCTGGTCCTCGTTGTTATCAGGGTACTCGCCGTTTCTCGCGTTACTTCTCTTACTCTGACCCTTGATGCTCCCACTGGCGTCTACTCCGGCGTCGTACCTGTAGTAGATCTGTCCGTCCTTAACGATGGTCTCTGGGATGGTAAAGCTCCTGACGCTAGGCCTGGTGTGATACCTGCCTAATGTAGCTGCCTCATCCTCGCTGCCACTCTCTTCCCCTGACTCCTGGTAGAAATCTCGGTAGTGCCTGAACCCTTGACCATTTTCATCTGCCCTGACGAATGTAGGGGACAAGTATGGCTCCTCCTGCAGGATCACCGGCTTACGTGAGGCTTCCTCATCACCAGAAGTGTCTGGAAAGCAACAAGAACACGTGGTATAATTCTATGACTCAACCACAACACCTACTCACCCAGGTAGATAATACTAGTGGCGGACAGCACCAGAAATCGACAACACAAATGATAGCCAGTGTGTCTCAACTCTGTCTGTGGTACTGTACAGTATAATATACTGGTACACTACATGTAACTCTATTGTATGGGTGGTATGGGTGTACTGAGTTATTACTAGAATACTAATAAATAATAATAATAATAATGATAATAATAAAAATAATAATAATATTATTATTATTATTATTATTATTATTGTACTAGATGGTGTACCCGGCGTGCCAGGTTTGTTTTATGGAGGGCAGCTCATATAACCTATATATTTCCATGCGTACTCTCTCATCATGATTAATATTATTATCAGTAGTAACAGTAGTAGAAGAAATTGTAGAAGAAAAGTTTTTGTAATTTCAAAAATCTTTTAAATCCGTTCTCGAACACATTTATATATGTGCACGAAAAATTAAGTTTATGTGTCGTCGTCCTTGTGTGGAGTAAAGATTATCTGGGAACTGGAGATGACGACACGTAAGGTATGGTAGAATTCTCATTGTAATTTTGATATTATTTTGGTTTTCTCGGGAGTTCAAAGAAGATTTGCTGGACCTGCAAGCTTTCGTTGCCTCTGGGCCTAAAAGCCAGTAGTCTTTTAATATAAGAACATAAGAATGGAGGAAACTTCAGCGGGCCAATTGGCCCATACTAGTCAGTCCTATTTACACTCAACCACTATTGCTCATATATCTATCCAACTTATGTTTGAAGCCATCCAGCGTATTTGAGTTAATGATGAAGTTTGGTAACTTGTTCCACTCGTCCACTACTCTATTTCCAAACCAATGTTACCTATTTCGCGCCTAAATCTAAATTTTTCTAATTTAAAACCATTGTTACGAGTTCGCCCCTGGTTGGATAGTTTGAGTACCTTTGTAATGTCCCCTTTGTTTAGCCCTGACTTCCATTTATACACCTCTATCATATCGCCCCTCACTCTACGTCTCTCGAGGGAGTGCAAATTAAGATGCTCTAACCTGTCTCTGTACTCAAGGTTCCTAATGCCGGGATTAGTCTTGTCATTCTCCTCTGAATTTTTTCCAAGGATTCTATATCCATTCTGTATTACGGTTACCAGAATTGAACTGCATAATCCAAGTGAAGTCTCACAAGCTCAAGATATAGTTTTAGGATGACCTCTCTAGTCTTGTAACTAACACTCCTTTGTGAACCCAAGTACTTTATTAGCCTTGTTTCGAGCAATTGCACATTGTTTACCTGGCTTAAGATTCCTACTTATCATTACTCCTAAATCTTTCTCGCAGTCGGATTTCTCAATAACATCGTTGTTCATCTGGTATCTGGTTTCCCTGTTTACATCTCCTATACTGAGTACTTTACATCTGTCCATATTGAATTTCATCTGCCATTTTTCAGACCATTCGAAATTTTTTTTAGATCTTCTTGTAGTTTTGCCGAGTCCTCGTCAGATTTAATTACACGCCCTATTTTAGTGTCATCAGCAAATTTACTTATGTTGCTGTCTATGCCGATATCTATGTCGTTTATGTATATAATAATGGTCCAAGTACTGAGCCTTGGGGAACTCCACTAGTGACGTTGCTCCAATGGGATTTAGTGCCGTTAATGCTCACTCGCTGTTTCCTGTCCTGTAACCACGCCCTAACCCATTTTAGAATATCTCCTTTAATGCCCTAAGCCTCCAATTTTCTTATTAGTCTTTCGTGGGGGACTCTGTCGAAGGCTTTGCTGAAGTCGAGATATACCACATCATAATTGTGCCTCTCGTCCACTGATTCGAAAACTGATGAAAAGAATGTTAATAGATTAGTTAGACATGAACGCCCACTTGTGAAGCCATGTTGGGAATTATTGATCAACTTGTGCCTCTCCAGGTGATTTCGAATAAAGTTTGAAATGATTGCTTCCAGTAATTTGCCTACAATTGATGTCAGACTGATTGGACGGTAGTTAGAGGATAGTGATCTATCTCCCTTATTGAAAATCGGTATTATATTCGCTATCCTCCTGGATTCTGGTACTACACCTGTTTTTAAGGACATGTTAAACAACTTTGCTAAGGGCATACTAAACTCTTCCTTTCATTCCTTTAAAACTCTGGCAAATATCTCATCAGGACCGGGTGACTTATTAGGCTTTAGTTTGTCTATTTGCTTACTAACATCGTTACTAGTCACTACTATCTGGCTTAATTTATTTTCTTCTCTATCTCTGTATAGAGTCGGTGCCTCGGGTATCATGTTTAAATTTTCGGTGGTGAAAACTGTTGAAAAATATTTAATCAGATTACTGCTCATTTCTCCGTAGTTATCAGTTAGCTCGCCGGTATCTGACTGTATTGGTCCAATCTTTTCTCGTGTTTTAGTTTGATACATTTGATAGAATTCCTTGGGGTCTGACTTCGCCTCCCTTGCTACCTTCAGTTCATTATTCCTCTTTGCTTTTCTTATCTCGGGTGAAGATCGTGGTAAACTTCACCACGATTTATTCTCCTACTTCTAGCTTTCCTTTGTCCAATAATATTCTTTAAATAACTATTTATCCATTTAGAGTCATTGTTGTTTGATCTGAGGTCATTGTTTTGATAACTTAGAAATGTGTATAATAAATTAAGCATGCCGCAGAAACATTTATTCCTAAACATACACGAATTGTTGTATGTTTAACTCTGGTACAATTTTATTTTATTCATACACACTAAACGACATCTTGACCCCCCAACACACACAGGTTCCAAAAACTGTATCTTGCCAGCTTTTAACACCTGGTATGCTCTTTATGTGAGTCAGAAGCATCCGCACAGACACATTTACGAGCCACACACAATATTAAAGTACATATCTTCAAGAATCTGGGTTTAGGCGTGAAAATAGGTCAGGCAGGCACTCACTTGTCAGGGACTGCGTGACGACAGTTGGTAACTCCATGACGGGCGGTGCTCCTGAGGGCGGGTCTTCAACCTTAGACGTCGGCCTCGCTACCACCCTGGTGTGTGGTCCTGTGAGAGACTTCGTCCTCGGCCTTGCTCTGACCCTGGGTAGGGTGTGTGGTCTCGGCAGGGGCCTGGTTTGTGGTGTCTGGCTAATGCCACTGTGTCCTCGATCACGACTCCTACCAGATCGACGGTCCTGAGGCAGCCGCGAGTACTCTTGACGTCGATCCACATTCCTCTTGCTTCTGCGGTGTCCTGTGTGTTATGGCTGTTTTAGTGGTATTCCTAATGTAATTTAAAAGCTAACAATTCGAGCAAGGTACTGTAAATATCAGCATGAGTTACATTTTGTTAAATATTAATGATATGACTAAAATCTAACTTTATAATGTGACGAGACTCCCCCCCCCAAAAAAATCCTGAAAATATAACAAAAAAAATTCCAATGCGGTATGTAACAGAGAAGAACCGTATTGATAATAATGCGAGAAAAGGTTAGATATGTATAGTATATACGAACGTTGATTGTTAACTTTTGCTACGGTTGATGATGAACCAGCTAACTGACAGAGAGAGTAGTGGTAAGAAATCTATTCATTCATTTATTATTGTAATACACGTTCTCTTTGGTTCAATATACATATAAACAGTGTAAGTTTACACACGATAACAAGCTGTAGGTCGATTTAGGCCCACTTCACACGAGCTTGTTTTTCCTTCGCAGAAGTACCCGGGCGGTTTAGAAATTAATAAGAATGTTTTTTTTAGAAATTAATAAGCTTGTTTTTTCCTGCTCGACAAAAATGGGGGCTGGAAGTGCCTGTGATTATTGTCAGCTATGTTCTGTATTTTTAAGTATTTTTGCTTTATATATATATATATATATATATATATATATATATATATATATATATATATATATATATATATATATATATATATATATATATATACAAGTAAATCACTGTAGGTGCGCGTGATCTAGGTATATGCTGATAACCACAAGGAAAGAAGAAAACACAAAGTTCCCAAGCGCTTGTAGTGGACGTCTCCCCTACAACTGCCTACAACTGCCTACAACTGCGTAGCCGCAGCCACCAGCTGCTACTATCTTCCCTAGCAACCAAACTAGCGGCCCAAGCGGGGGCGTCACCAGATGCCACCGTATCCTAGCAACTGAGTCAAAAGACCGGCTACTTCTCGGGTTTTCCCTACATGACTCACGGCTGACTCACGGCTGCTGGGTATATAAGCTCTGTCTCTCCATTGAGATTCATTCTGCCTCTCTTCCTGAACAAGCAACACCTCCTCCACCGCTGCCTGGCGGTCCTCGCTCCCGCCAGCGAGCATGGCGACCCACCAGCTGTCCTTCTCTGAGCTTCCTCACCAACCAGCTCTTATTCTGCTCTCGGTTCCTGAACACGCAACACCTCCTCCCAGCAAGCTCCTCGCTGTCCAGTTTTCATTCAACCAGGAGGCCAGCAACAGGCAACATCTTCTCTAACGAAGCTCCTGTACATCTACCTCCTTCAACACGCTACTCACCGAACGTCTCTACTGAGCAGCCCCTCACCACACGGCACCTCCAGCACCAGACTGTCTACCATATAACTTATATTATACAAGAAAACCACCTTAGAGTTTCCATCCATCCTGAGTGCTAGACAACATTATATTACGAAACCCTACAAATGGTGACTCCCGGAAAAACGCACTCACACAGGATGGAGGAGACACTGATCACGCTCCTAGTCTTCAAGCAGCATAGAAGAATGGCTTATCCACACAGAAGCAGCTCTGCTACTCTAAGCAGACACCAGCTCCTCTTCCTGCCCCAAGCACCACATCCTACCGACCCCAGCACACCCGTCCTGCCTCAGACGCCGACCCCGGCCCAGCAGTAACCCCTGCCGCCCCTGACGCGGCCTCTGTTCCTGAGTGCGGACCCACACACACACCCCTCTTTTCTCCCTCAGGTACTCCCTGCTAATGTCCTGCACCCTGCTGCTGTCGTGGACCCAGCTGCTGTCACGAGCCCTAATCCGCTTCTGCTGACGCAGCCCCTGCTCCTGACCCAGGCCCACACACACCCCAGAAGGCGCATCTGACGACTCCGTACCTGTCGTGAGGGAAGCACAACATTCATCGCCTCCACACACCCTTTTCCTACCTCTCTCTTCCCACAGATAGTGTGTATATTGACAGTTGTATTCAGCGACCGGCTCATTCACGCCATCGCCGTTGTCTCACATGAGGCATGCACCGCCCGGTCTGCCTCACATGTGCTAAGCAACTCTACAGACAACAAGTCTCCTACACCGCCTGGAGGGAAGGGGGAGTATTGTAGTGGACTTCTCCCCTACAACTGCGTAGCCGCAGCCACCAGCTGCTACCATCTTCCCTAGCAACCAAACGAGCGGCAAGGCAGGGGCGTCACCAGATGTCGCAGTATCTTAGCAACGGAACCAAAGACCGGCGACTTTCTCGGGTTTTCCCAACATGACTCATAGATGACTCACGGCTGCTGGGTATATAAACTCTGTCTCTCCATTGAGACTCATTCTGGCCTCTCTTCCTGAACAAGCAACACCTCCTCCTCCGCCGCTGCCTGGCGGTCCTCGCTCCCGCCAGCGAGCATGGCGACCCACCAGCTGTCCTTCTCTGAGCTTCCTCACCAACCAGCTCTTATTCTGCTCTCGGTTCCTGAACACGCAACACCTCCTCCCAGCAAGCTCCTCGCTGTCCAGCATTCATTCAACCAGGAGGCCAGCAACAGGCAACATCTTCTCTAACGAAGCTCCTGCACATCTACCTCCTTCAACACGCTACTCACCGAACGTGTCTACTGAGCAGCTCCTCACCACACGGCACCTCCAGCACCAGACTGTCTATCATATAACTTATATTATACAAGAAAACCACCTTAGAGTTTCCATCCATCCTGAGTGCTAGACAACATTATACCACGAATTCCTACAGTCTACTTAGTCTCTTTGCCTAATTGTCGCCATGTTAGTAGTGTTCCCCAGTGGGAAGTGATTGTGAGGAAACTGTGGACAGTACAAGTTAATAATATACTAAATAAATGTATTATTATTCATATTTAAGTATAACATACTCGTGATGATGATAATAATAATACCGTATATCTGTATATCTTAGTGATAAACCAAAACACACACACACACACACACACACATATATATATATATATATATATATATATATATATATATATATATATATATATATATATATATATATATATATATATATAATGATAATAACTGTAATATATATTACAGAACAACGTCATGGCAGCTCCTGATAGCCTATAACTGAAAACCATTTTCTTATTTGTCAAATTTCGTGAGTGTGAAAAACACGTTCGTGTGAACACGTGCCTTCTAGAAATATTCCTGAGCGTGAAATTTCCCTCTCAGGACAAACACGCTCTTGTGAAGCTGGCCTTAACCAAGGCTCAACCAGGTAAACCGTTTAAGGTTATTTCCATTGCGGATCTTTTGGTTAGATTATTTTTTTTATTAATTTACAAAGAAAATTCCATGGGGATATACCCCACTCAATAAGATTTCACTGTGAAAATAACACGAATTTTTGAGAATGGCAAAACAGTTCTCAAAAATCATTCTCAGACACATGTTTTGTTTTGCTAAAACTAGGGAACCATGATGCCATTGAGCTTAGCAATAGCTGATAAACTGAATCTCACGAAACGTTGATACTGGAAATGACAGAAGATTGTAACAAAACCAAAAATGAAAAAAAATGAAAAGGTGGAAGAATAGGAAAAGAAGATCAAGGTGAAAAAAATAAAAATAATTAAATACTAAAACGAAGACAATAATGCGAATAAACTGAAAGAAACGAAAAATAACTTAAAAGAAAAGAAAAATAAATTAAAGCACAAAGAAGAAACCAAAAGAATAACAGGATAACAAACTAAAAAAAAAACGAGTGAAAGAAAATTAGCGTTACCGCCAACGAAGCGGTAAGTATGTGACGTCTGGATAAGAAGACCCATGCACGTGGACTCAATGATATTTAATGGTCAAAATCTGTCAACACATTACTCATGATCTGTGGATTACAAGTTAGGTGACAACAGCTTCATATCGTATACAATGGCAACAACATTTACTACGTGACTTATGTGATAATTACAAAGACGTATACATAGTGTTACCGCAAGCGGTGCATAATTATGATGACATAAACAAATGTTATGTTAGGCTGTAACTCACAATGTAGAGTGTTGAGATGGTTGAAGATGAGAGGCCCAGAAGGAGGTTGGAGGGTGTGAAGGGAGTTTGTTTATGTATAATTATAATCACCTGACTCAGCCATGCCTGACCAGCCAAGGGGCCAGGCTATAGGGTGGGCATTTCTGCATAGCTACCCATATCTTAGAGTCAACACCTACCCTGGCTCTTCTAGACTTTCACGTAAGGTTAACTAGTACTTATTGTGTACACAGGTAGACTGTGTCATTGTTTTTGTGTTAAGATTAGACTAATTACATAGCCATGATGAATATATATTGATTAAACATTTATGTAAGAGTGCCTATGTATGACTCATTTGAAATACTAAATGAATTGTATTCAACAGGTTTGACCGAATTATAATGTTCGGTATGACGAGAAGTATTATTCACCCTCAACCGTCTGATGGAGGTTACAGTCAAACGTGAATGTCTACCAACGCGCGGGCAGCAGTAACCAAGGTCAACTCAACTCAACCCACTGGAGGGATGCGCGAGCGCGCGCGTTCGTGCCACGGATTACAGCAACGCCCGTAGATTTACAGTGGCGATAATACTTGAACCTTTTGTTATTGAAGAAAATAATGTTGTCAGAGTGAGCTCAGCCACTCTTAGTGTAGCTTGGCTCACCAACACTCGTCACTCGAGGGACGAGTGTAATAATAATAATAATAATAATAATAATAATTAACGGTTTATTGAAAAAGCTTGGGAGCCAGAAGGCTGAAAATATACAGTTACATATTTGGGGAATGGGTTTCGAATTACAAATAATATACATGTAACATAAGTGATACAAATAAGATATATAATAACTAGATGGGGAAAAGCTCAAACTACAGTGCATTTCAACATAGTGACAGTGCAAGAAGTAGTATTTACTGGAGTGAATACACTGGTTTATTACAAGTTATTGATAATTTTACAATGGTTGGGACTGGGCTGTTCTTATAGTGATTAGTTCGCACGT